AGGCACAATTCAGAATTCCCTTTAAAGCACTATTAGCCTGAATACTTGGGCTTTAATGCTTTACATTTTGAAAAACACTAATTGCATTCAATTACAAAATGTGAGAACTTCATACACCTTGACAAGGACAGACCCTAAGTAAATCCATTACCCCTCAGAGAAACCACACTAAGAGCACCGTAGTGGAACCGCGGTAAGTATTTCAGAGGACATAATTCTAACCGCTCTGTTAGTGATTTTCTGGCCAGTCTGGACTGTCCTAACAGTTCTAACCGTCCAGACAGTTTGGATCCAGTACTCGGAAGCCGAGTACAGGGCCTGCTCCTCCGAGACTCACCTTGGTCTCTCCGGAGAGGGGTTGGGGCTGCGGGGAGGAGGCGTGCGGGGCACGGCTGGCTTCGGAGCGATGCTGGCTGCAGGGAGAAGGCCGTGGACGATGTGTTTCTGCACAAATGAAACGCAGCAGAGGTCGCTGGGATGCAGGGGAGTCACCTGAGTCTTGTTACCACCACCCCTCCCCGGGCCTGAGAGGAGACACCTGCGCTGGCCACCCAGGACTGCAGCTCCGCCGGAACCCCACTCCTCGCCTGCCATCCCCAACCCCCGTCTCGCCAGACAAGCGCACCCACCCAGGGAGCGCCATGACAGCTGCCCACTGGGGCCCTCTCGTCCTACCCTCCTCAGAGCAGCTCCCCTCCAGGCCTTCCACTTGCCCCCAGCACCGCCCCCACTGACGCCTCACGTGCTTTCCTCGCGCAGAGCAGGGCGACTTGCTGAGAAGCAGGTGACTCTTATCATTACCAATCCCGGAACCCTAGCACTGAGCACGTTGCCTCACACCTGGTAGGGGCTTAATAACGATTCCAGGTGGCCTGGCTCAAAGATGCAGAGTAACAAAAACTATCTCCTGCACACCATGAAAGTAGAGAGCCCTGCTCTGGGTAACCGAGAGTCTCTCAGAAGTTTCTGGGTCTAGTCCAATCTCCATCTTCTGGGCACTAGCCCCGTTCATGCACATCTGCTAGAGGCAGAACCCCATGACAGCAATGAAGAAATCTCGTCGTCATCCTCAAGGAAGTAGGGTATAGAGGGAAAACACCCATATAGCTCTCACAGAACACAGAAGAGCCAAGGGAAAGGGAAAAACAAAGTGAGGGAGGGAAGGGCTCCTTCAGGCCTGGGGCCGGCACGCGGACCTCAAATGCTCTCCGCAGAGAAGATCGCAGAGGCATTTGGACTGGGTCTTCAAAGATGGCCACGGCCCCCACATTTGGAGCTGTGATGGGAAAGCATTTTAGGGAGGAGAACAAAGGAATGGAGCAAGACATCGGTGGCAGTGCTCTGGAAATAACAAGCACAGTGCGCTGGTTTGTTGGAAAGCAGAGGCACCTGCGAGGGAGAGGTTAGAAGGCGGGCTGGGGGTGAGAGTGGGATTACTCCCATTTGAGGAGCTTTCATACCAGACGGAGATCCGGTGGCCTAGTGAGGCGCACCCGCTGACGGGCCCTGGGAAGACTAATCGGGCAGTGTTTGGCAAAAAGCAGAAAGCAGGGAAGGGAGGCGCAGCCAGGGAGCACCCTTCAGGAGTAAGGGACGGCGGGCCTTCCAAAAGCCTCCCCACCCCACCCCAGTTCCACTTGCACAGCCACTCACAGGAGTAGGTGTTCCAGAACAATCTCTGCCCAATCCCTCCACCCTCTGTTTACTCCTCAGTGTGGCGCCTACCCCCTTGCATTTGTCCAGCAATTTGACAGTTTACACATGTGCCTCCTCCCCTGCACACCCCCCGCCCACCTGGGAGAGGCTCAAGGACAAGAAAGGGCTTTTTTAACCTTTGAATCTCCAGAGGCTGGCATCTAGTAGGTTCTCCAAAAAGGCCTTGTGAGCTTTGTTCTTTTTCTTTTTGAGACAGAGTCTCACTCTCTTGCCTGGGCTAGAGTGCCGTGGCGTCAGCCTAGCTCACAGCAACCTCCAACTCTTGGGCTCAAGCGATCCTCCTGCCTCAGCCTCCCGAGTAGCTGGGACTACAGGCATGCGCCACCATGCTCGGCTAATTTTTTTCTATATATTTTTAGTTGTCCAATTAATTTCTTTCTAATTTTAGTAAAGACGGGGTCTCGCTCTTGCTCAGGCTGGTTTCGAACTCCTGAGCTCAAGCAATCCTCCCGCCTTGGCCTCCCAGAGTGCTAGGATTACAGGCGTGAGCCACCGCGCCCGGCCAAGTGAGCTTTGTTTTTGAAAAAGTGAATCCCCTATAGTATGCTAAACATCTCTTACTTATACCTCCATAATCACTTCCTAGCTATGGTCCTCTCACCTCTAGACTCCAAATCACAGGATGATCCTACCTCTACCCAAGATGAAAAACCTTCCCTCAGGGGAAGCCCCTCCTCTCTTGTTGATAGGTAAATGCTCCAGTGTGGCATAGAAGGCTGCTGTAAGTTGGTTCCTACCATTGGACGCAGATTCATTTCTTGCTAACCCTCTTCATCCCGCGCTTGTTCTCTAGGCTTGAACACTCAGAGTTGCCTTCCATTTCCGAAACAGCAAATAATTCATTCTTCTTCAGGCCTTGGTATATGCCGTCTTCTGCACCTGGAATTCTCTCTTTACTCCCCTTAAGGCCCAGGTCAACTCTCCAGACTGACTTTGCTGCCCCTCCCCTGGTACGCATGTCTACAGTTCTTGTTTTACCATCTTGCGAATTATTTATGGACTTATCTATCCTCTAGACAATGTGGCCCAAGGCTATCAATCAGTTGTGGGTATCTGCACACACTAGGAACTTAACAATGTTTACTGCTTTGAATAAAAACTCAATATTCTGTGTTTAGCCTGATAAAAAACTCAGTAAACATGACTTGGTGGGGTGAAGGAAATAAATAAATAAACATGCTTACTCGAGGTAGCAAAATTGCAATGCAAAAATATGTTTCAATTATGTCTTCATTGTTTCTCAACACCCTCCTGTCAGCGCGTCATAGGCTGAGAACGCAAAGCCAAATCAGACATGCTCTCTGGCCTCACTTTAAAATACAGTTCAGGAGTGCCCTTATCACCATGCTTTTTCTGCAGTTAAAGTATTCATTTTGTGGAGAATTGAATGTAAGTCGCTTTGGGGTTTTTCCAGGCAACTATGGAAAAGGAAGACAGGATCAAGGGAGTTGAGGGTGTAGGCAGGGAGTGATGGATGGTGGATTAGAGCTGGAAAAGAGGGCAGCGAGGACATCAGGGATGGGACGGTCAGTTAAAAGTTGGGAGGATCAATAGACTGTAGAGGGGAGGGGGGAGGTATGAACAGATCACTGGAGTTAGGATCCTAGAGGAAGTGAGGACAGGCAGGAGGGACGATCAGAGAATGAGACTGGAGACAGAATGGCCCTGGGAAGACGCGGAGGGAAGCATTCCAGAAGGAATAGAAAAGGTGGAAGCGGGGATGGAGGCCGGCGTGGCTGGAGAGGGTGTACGGTGGTGGTGGTGGCGGTAATGGCACCGTTTGCTAACAAGGGCAGAGGCACGATCAGATTTGAGTTTTAAAATAATCCCTTTGGCTGCTGCGTGGAGAGCGGACCTAGGGGCAGGGCAAGAGTGGAAATCGAGAAACCAGCGAGGAGCTGCCGCAGCAGCCCAGGCAGATGCTGGAGGGCGGGGTGTGGATGGAGGCGGAAACAGCCTACCGATGTATTTGGTGCGCGTGGGCGAGGATCTACTTACGAACTGGTTCCTGCGGCCTCTCCGGAACCCCAGGAGCATCCTTGCGGTGGGCGGGTGGGCGCACCAGGCCCTGGATTCACCGGCAGATCTCATCACAGCCAGGAGCGCTCGCTAAAGCCGGCCCGGGTCCCGAGGGCTTAGCCCTAGACGCTTTTTCTTCCCAGAGGACTTTGCAACAACCATGTCTGCTATTGGCTCAGTTTTGTCCGCGACCAATCAGAGCCAAGTTTACTTCCGCACTCGTCGTGTTGGCAACCGGCAGGTTCCATTCAATTTTCCTCCAGACCGGAAACGGTCTGCGCTGTCGGTTCTCTCATTGGCCAAATCAGGTGTCCATCTCCGACGCCACAGCCTATCCGCCGCTGTGGGAGGCGGAGGGCGGGCTGGATGAAGGACTGGGAGAGCACCTGAGGCGTGAAGCCGGAAGTGGCGCGGCCTCGGGTAAAGTCGCCCCTGTAGAGTGGGGCGGAGGTGGCGACTCTGCTGGCTCGGTCCCCGCCCTGGACTGGACTGAGGAGCCACAGTGCGGACCGAGCTGGGGTGCCAGGGGCCAGGTACGTGATGAAATGAAGGACGCGGCCACCATGCAGGAATCTCCCGGTTCTTATACGTCTACAAATAAGTAATTCAGTTTTTGAAAGAACACTCTGCAGACGGGATCCAGCTACAGAGGCCCCGGCTTCTAGTGCGGTGTGGGGCCGTGTTGTATTTCCCTCATTAGGTCGAGACCACCAATGGACAGGAGCCCCCCTGATGGCCCGGGCCCCGTGCACGTGCCTTTGGGGCACATTGTGGCCAGTGAGAAGTGGCGCGGGTCGCAGCTGGCGCAGGAGATGCAAGGTCAGTGGGCTGCCTTCTGCCATAAGCCCTTTCCTGCCCCCCTCCCCCACATTTTTTTTTTAACGGTTTGCCTGTTGCTGCCTTTTCCTAGGAAACTCAATCACAGATCTCATTTTCATTTTAAGGGAAAATTAAGCTCATTTTTGAGGATGGCCTGACACCAGATTTTTACCTGTCGAATAGATCCTGCATTCTTTATGTCACCGAAGCTGATTTGGTGGCAGGAAATGGCTACAGAAAGAGACTTGTTCGGGTTAGAAATGTAAGTCCTGGATTAAAGAAACTGAAATTGAACATTGACTTGGTTATCTGCCCCCCTTTCCCCTTCATCTCTTGGAATAATTTGTAAAACCACTGGCCATTCCAAGCACAAAGTGATAGCTTTCTTAACCTTGAAAGGAATTTTGTCACAAAATGATTTACTATCTTTTTTTTAAGTCCGGTCATCTTCAAGGCATTGTAGTAGTTGAAAAAACCCAGATGAGTGAACAATACTTCCCAGCCTTACAGAAGTTTACTGTGCTCGACCTTGGAATGGTGTTACTGCCAGTGGCCAACCAGATGGAAGCATCTGGCCTCATTGTCCAGTTGGTAAGTGTGGATGCCTCTACCTTCACCGTAGACCTGACCTCATGCAGACTCTCAGCTGTCCTTGCTGTAATTGCAACCCATCAATCCAATCTATGTCCTTCCCTGTGTTGGCTTATAAAACCTTTCTGAGGAATTTATTAATAAGTTCAGAAGCTGCCTCTGCAGCCAGCTGAGCTTGCCACCCACTCTAGGCAAGTGTATCACAAAGTAAACCAGTTGGAGACCCAGTTTGAGACTCCCAGGCTGTGATGACGCCATCCTTCCTTATCTTGCCCTTATGCTGGTAAAAATGTCAACTAGCAGCTGCTTTGCCTCATCCCCACGTATCGTTATTAAGCCATCAGCACTTGTGTGTGCAAGTTTATGATGTTTATTTAAAAACAAAAAAACAAAAAACCTGGTTCTCCATTGTCCTCACTGACTTTTCAACTCGGTTGTACATTAGAATGTCCTGGGGAACATTTAAAGTAGTGATACATGAGTCTTACCTCGGACCAATTAAAAATCAAAACATGGCGGTAGGGCCTGAGCATCAGTTTTTTTGTGTGTGTTATTATTTTGTTTTGTTTGAGACAGTCTCTGTCGCCCAGGGTAGAGTGCAGTGGCGTCAGCTTAGCTCACAGCAACCTCAAACTCCTCAGCTCAAGCAATCCTCCTGCCCCGGCCTCCCAGAGTGTTAGGATTATAGGCGTGAGCCACTGTGTGCCCGGGCCTGTGTTACTGTTTTTCAGATCTCTTCCTCTGATGTGCACCTAGGGTTGAGAACCATATTGGAAATGCAGGCAGCCCTGTGTGTTAACTATTCCTAACTTCCCTTGATATAATGCTATGGACTGTCTTAGTATAACCACAAGCTGAAAACTGGGTTTCTCCTGTGATAGGCAAGCTTTGTGCAGGTCCTGTATGAAGTAGATCTAGGTTAGGTATAACTATCATTTAATCTTGGACAACAGAAATGTTTCTTAATGGACCACAGGAAAATGTTTGAATTTCTCAGAGTATGTTTTTCATTAGTTTTATCTGAAACATTCTGAAAACTCAAATTTTTATAAATTGTTTACGTCTTACTCCTTTGTACGGCTGATTCATATTTCAATAATTTTGCTGATGTCTGAAAAATTATATTCATGGTATCTGAAAACATTTGTACCCACCAGTCAAGCTGAACCAAATGGAAAAACTGAATTTCCACAAAACGAATTTTAAGAAAATTGCCAGTCCTCCAGAGGGCGCTCATGTGCTTTTCCTTTAATTTCTGGTTCAGGTTCAGGAGCAAACCAGAGAGCCCAGCAAGAACCCTTTTCTCAGGAAGAAACGGGCTCTGCTGTCTGAGCCATCCCTCCTGCGAACTGTGCAGCAGATCCCAGGGGTTGGGAAAGTTAAAGCCCCGCTTCTGCTTCAGAAGTTTCCAAGTATCCAGCAACTGAGTAATGCTTCCGTCCAGGAACTTGAACCGGTGGTTGGACACGCGGCCGCACAGCAAATCCACGCCTTCTTCACACAGTCCACTTGACCAGTGGCCTCTAGACCACAAACAACAGGATCTTGTTTTCATAGTCTAGAACTAAGAAAAACAGACTTCTCACAGCAACTAGAAGACGAGGTGTGGCCTGAACGGAGCCCGCAGGTGGTCCTGCCTTGCTGTCCGCATTGCAGGTGGTGGGCGCTGACCTCCCTCTGCTGAGATGAAAAGGGCCGATGGGCATCTTCCTTAGAGTCAGGGACTCTCGTTCTCAGCAGAAAGTCAGTTTTAGAGCCGTATTCTAATGTGTGACCTTGATCTGTTGTCTATCACAGAAAAGTCTTCTAAAAAGGTTCAGAAGGGGGATGTGACCATCTAAAGGAAACAGACATACAATGAAGCACTGTGTATCATACGCCCCTGGTTCCTGGTGTCAGAGCTGCTGCTCAAGCCTGGCCTTCATATGTTAAAACCTGTGCTTTGAGGGCTGCTGCCGGCGTAAATAAACAACTGCACGACAGTTCCTTCCTTCATTCTTCCTTTCCTCCCATTTTCTTTTTTTTGGTAGCTGTACAGTTTGTCCGTCATCACTGGGCATGTATTCTGAATCAGAAAGCCTGGAGTCTAAAGTTCCCATTTAAAGATGAAAAAGCAAAGTGTGTGAGGCAGAAAAAAATGTGTTTGTATATGCGCAGCCCAACAGTGGGAGGACACACGGGAAACGTTAGGGGCAGCTGCATCCAGTGAGGGGAGCTGGGGGCTGGGAATCAAAAGGTACAGCTGCCTCTTTGAAAAATAAATACAATTAAAGATGCCGTAGGTTTTAGAAGATGACGGTGATGTGAAAGCTAAGTCCTGCTTTGTGAAATGTTAGTAATTTTTAAAATCGGAACAATAAAAACACTTTGTGCATTAAAGTAGAAACAATTTGAAAGAGGGGGCAATTAAAATGAAATAAAAGTGAAAAAAACAAACAACTGGGGTGTGTGAATGTTTATTTAAATATTTATACAAACATGGCCCTAGGAGCAGTGGATACACTTTCCCAAAGGTGGTTGTTTCCCTTAAGCTATTGCACAATAGAAAATAATTAAATTCTTGTTGATTCTTAAAATCGGATTTCAATGCTATATGTTTTTAGCTGCGTAACTTGTACTGTGTCAACTGTGAATCTTATGAGTCAGTCAGTGTCATCCAACTTACAGCAAGAGAAATCAATTGGTAAGAATGTCACTTAAAAAGTCAAATAGAGCTTTAAATTGGAATCATTTACATTTTCATCTTATAAGATGTAAAACCCCCTTACTCAAGACTTAAAATATACAGTTATGTACCTTCTGCTTTCAACAACATGAAAAATGTTTCGAGTATCAAACAGTATATTATCTACCTTGTAGACAGCATCGTCATCTAACACTGCCACTGTGTTAGCAACTTTTAAATTAAATGACATCAAAGTAGAAGAAAAGATGCTCCTAAATTGTTTTTATTTAATAAATCAAGACAAATTTGGCACTAGACTTTATCTAGAAATAGCATTCATATTATATAGATATTAATAGTAAATCTTGTTGTTTTAGGTTAAATAACTCCTATTAGGAAAAGCAGCTCTTTGGAACAGTTTTTAGTAACGCTAATTTAATTCTACCATCACAGTCCTCTGAATTGCCTTAATTCAGGGGGCGTCTGAATTCTAGATTAAGGAATGATTGTTCCCCAAACCTGAAAACTTACAAACAGTCCTAACCATTAAAAACAGCCATATTATCAACACCATCTACGATACTTTATATAATAAATAACTTGCAGCAATATAGTGACACTCCTCAAAGAAGTCTGTCACAAATTTCTAGAGGTTTCTTGTTACTTTCATTCATAAAAACACATGAAATGCAAATCTATACCACGTGAAAATGGGATCCGAAAACATTTAGATATTTCCGTTATGGCACAAATTTTGAAGGCCTCTTCCACACTGTCAAGTCCACACCGTCAACGTTTGGGGCCTGAACGTTTTTGCTTCCTCACGTTAGTACAAAGAACTGTCGGAGTTGAGAAGGCTGAAAGGAGAGGGGAGCTTCTTCTTGATCTGAGGCCTCGAAACCCCAACCGAAGGGAGGCACAAGGTGCTGGCTGACTTCTGTCTGTTCTTACTGGCGCCCCAGCTCAGGAAGGAAAGCTTCTTCGAGATTTTCTTGGTTTTATCAGTTTTATCGTTATCCTCGATGGCTAAGCAGATCATGGAGTACGTTTTCTGCATTCCCACAGAGTATGTGGCACACTTATGCTGCACGTAGACAAAAAAGGAAGAAAAAGGTTCAAGGTATCTGATACGTGATTACGGAGTTGGAGACTCACTCTGCACTTACAGCATCCTCCTAAAAATTAAGTTGATATAATTCTGAAACTCAGGTGACCCATGGGTATGTAGAAAATAAGGAAAATTTTTAAGGAATGTACTCAGGAGTAGCAACTCAGGCTTAGAAACCGCTACTCACTTGTTGAGGTTCTTACTGTATTCGAGAACGGAATACAGAGTACTGGTCACCAAAATGAAAACACACAAACAGCAGGGCTTCCCCTCACCTGTTGGTGCCCCTGCCCGGGATGGTCCTCTTGTCCCTCTTCAACTGGCCGTTCCTTCTCGTTACCTGGCTAGAGCAGCCCTCCCCACCCCCAGTCATTCTACCACGTTCCATGTTTTCTTTCCTTTAAGGCACTTATCAAAATCACAACCACGTATTTGCTGCTTTAGTGTTTCAGGGGGCAGGGCCCTTATCTGTAGAGTTCAAGCTCCAACACCTCAGAGAGTGAGTGCCTGGCACAAGACTGATGCTCGGTCAATATTTGTTCAGTGAATAAGTGAATGGTGTTTAGAGGGAAGGTCTAGGTACATTAGTAAGTGTGGCAAAGTGCAGTAGAGAACCTACGGTATGATTCCTCCCATTTGGAAAATTAGAGAAAATGGTACACATGAACTTGCAGAGGAATGGAACACTTCCCAAGATCTCCCAGGAAATGGCTAACACTCTCCAAGTTATAGACAGGGACGTTCAGCACTTGTCTTAAGTCCATCTGTACTATTGGAACTGTTTTTTTTAAACATGAGTATGTATTACTTTTGTAATTAAACAGAATTTTTTTTTTTTTTTTTTTTTTTGACACAGTCTTGCTCGGTTGCCCAGGCTAGAGTGCAGTGGCCTCATCATAGCTCACAGCAACCTCAGACTCCTGGGTTCAAGCAATTCTCCTGCCTCAGCCTCCCAAGTAGCTGGGACTACAGGCACATGCCACCGTGCCCGGCTAATTGTTCTATTTTTTTTATAGAGACAGGGTCTCGCTCTCGCTCAGGATGGTCTCCAACTCCTGGCCTCAAACGATCCTCCCACCTCGGCCTCCCAGATCGCTACAATTACAGGCGTGAGCCATTGCACCCGGCCAAACAGAATTTAATCAGAAAAATAAATCAATTATTTCATCTACAGAATTAAGGAAACTTTTTCCAATTATCTCTTTGAGCCAAGGTGAGCACACCCCAGTGATCGCAAGCTTGGGCGCTCAGTCGTTTGTGCCGGGTCACGCGGGGGGGAGGCCGCGGGCCTGGCAAAGACCCCTGGGGCTCAGCACACAGGTTTCGCTCCGGGCCAGTGTTTACTGCCCAGGGCGCTGTCGGCACTCACCATGGACGACGTGGAGTCCAGGAGGCTCACGACCTTCATCGCGATCCCGTCCTCGCCCAAGCTCTTCAGCAGTTTCATGACCTCGCTCACCGTCAGCCACTTGCAATCCACGCCTTGAATGGACACAATATAATCTCCCTCCTTGGCTCCTGCCAGCTACAAAGGTATCGTTCAAATAGAGGTCAACGTTTCGTTCACTCAAATCCCAGATCGGTTCCCAGATTCATTAACGAAATAGACATTTGCATTAAGTTTGCATCAAGAAAGCAAAAATTAATCCTTGTCTAACTGGGCATGCGGCATCCACGAGGCCTTTCACATAAAGTCAGGCTTCTGACCTAGGTGAACCCCAAGTTCAATCACCCAGATAAACGTGTTGGAACTATTTCTTTGTATCTTCCCAGCCTGACTCCGCGCGAAGCTGCCAGCGGATTTCGCTCCCGGCCGGGAAAGGTGCGTGCTTACCGCGGCCGAGCAGTGCGGGTCCAGGCAGTGGACCTGAACTGGGGCGTTGCCTCTCAGGGTGAACCCCAAGTCCCCTTCTTCTGTGGTGAAGTGAATGCTCCGAGGAGGTGTCCACCTCTTGTTGGCCGAAAACACGGATAAGGGGCCCTTCGGAAGACAGCACCATTAGGTGTAGGATTTGAAGGCTGAATCAGACATTTAAAAGCTAAAGGAAGTTTTGCCTCTTGTCCCTGAAAATCTCACTCGGCCTTGTTCACGGACTAACGACACCATCTCGGCTGACAATGGGCCAGAGCAGCCGTACAAGAACATGGACTGCCACTTCTCTAACATAGCCAATATATTTTCGATAAATTTATCTTTCAGAAATTATCTTCCTTAAAATTATCTAAAAAAATAAGATCTCCAATCTAAAAAAATTGAAAATACCTAAAAGTAACTTTTCAAACTGCTACGGTCTGAATATTTGTGTCCTCTGAAAATATGTCTGTTAAAACCTAATCACGGCCGGGCGTGGTGGCTCACGCCTGTAATCATAGCACTCTGCAAGGCCGAGGCAGGAGGATTGCTTGAGCTCAGGAGTTTGAGACCAGCCTGAGCAAGAGCGAGACCCCGTCTCTACTAAAAACAGAAAGAAATTAGCCAAACAACTAAAAATAGAAAAAATTAGTTGGGCACGGTGGCGCATGCCTCTGGTCCCAGCTACTCGGGAGGCTGAGGCAGGAGGATCGCTTGAGCCCAGGAGTTTTGAGGTTGCTGTGAGCGAGGCTGATGCCACGGCACTCTAGCCCAGGCAAGAGAGTGAGACTCTGTCTCAAAAAAAAAAACAAAAACAAAAAACCTAATCACCAATCTGATTACTAGGAGGTGGGGACTTTTGGAAGGTGATTAGGTCATGCGGGGGGGTCCCCCAAGAATGGGATTAGTATCTTTATACGACAGGCCCTAGGGAGCTACTTGCCTCTTCTACCATATGAGGACACAGAGAGAAGGTGTCATCTATGAACTAGAGAACGGGCCCCCACCACACACCAAATCTGCTGATGCCTTGATCTCGGACTCCCAGCCTCGAGAACCGTGAGAAACAAATTTCTGTGGTTTATAAGCCACCCAGTTTATGGCATTTTGTTACAGCGGCCCAAATGAACTGAGACGACAAACTAGCACAATGTAAAAGCCATCTCCTTAGGTCACTTACGAAACAAGCATCCAACGTACCAGCTTCTGAAAGAAGTCCGTTACCTCCAACTTGGAGAACTGGGGCAACGTAATTTCAGCCTCCTGTTCAGTTTTAGCTGGAAAAGAAGATTAAAAATGAAAACATAAATATTTCTGTAAATAAAAGTGAGCCTTGAAAACTCAGGTCTGCAGTCTCGTCTCCGAAGGGAAGAAGCAGCAACACTTTCTCCTAATCACCTGTTCTTCCCCTTGGTCTAGACGAGTAGTACAAGAAGATGAAATACCGCTCAACCCCCCGGCCAGCAGGAACCTCCTACGCGGGCAGCTACGTGAGCTGTTCCCGGCTGGGACAACACAGTGATGATCAGAGGCGTCCCCCGCTCCAAGGAGCTACTGACGTCTGGCGGACTCCCTCTGGCGCTCTTAAAACCCGACTGAGAAGTCATCTGTATTGCAGGGGTTGCTGTTACGGAAGTTCCATGTCGCGGTACACAGTCCTGGCGTACTGTGCTTCCCGTTTTCATTATGACTGTGTGACGGGAGGACTTCACAGCGAGAGGCGGGTTTGCCAAATCACGCCCACTGATAGCTACCAATCTCCACCAGCAGGCTCAGGTCTGCCCTTCCCGTAAGGCTAGTCAGTTTCCAATAGAGGACCTTGGAGCAGGCCAATCACACATGAACAACAGTGTAAACGGAGTATCTAGGGAAGGACGACTGGCACCAGCAAGGTGGATCTCACCCCTCTGTCCACAAAGTGACCCTGTGGCTTCTTACGACCCACTTCATACAGTGCCGGGCTCTGGCGGCTACTGGTCTGCTACAAGAGCAGCCACCCCGACCACTGGAGCTGCGCGTCTCTTCTCTGTGGGGTTCGAGTCTCTACCTCCTAGTCACAGAGGTGACTACAGTGTCCCTGAAGGAGAATCCCCGGGCACTAGCCCTGGTTCCACCTACCAGCTTGGTCACTTGGGGCAAGAACTTTGGTCTCCCTAAGCCTTTATTTCTTCATCCCTAACACGAGGGTGATACCAGCACCTCCCTCATAGCATGAGAGGAGGGCTGCATGAGATCCTGTATACATACGGCGCCAACTGTCATGCCTGGCAGACCCCAAATGCTCAATAGGTATCCACCAACGTTGCTATAGACAAGCCCAGGATTCTAGCTTGCGCAGCTAAGGAGCTGGTTCCTGAAAGCTGGGAGGGGGCTCCAGAGACTGAAGACAGGGGTGCAGGAAGTCGGGTGAGAGAGGGGTACGAACAAAAGGGGTTCGGGGGTTCCCTCGACTGCGCTACCTTCCATCCCCCACGCCTAATTTCTGGATCCTCGTCATTCCTCATTGTAAAGCCACCTCTTCCGGGAGGTGCTCCCGGCTCCCACCCTCCCAGGCAGAAGCGACTGCCTCCTCCCCCAGGGTGGCAACGACTCTGTTGTCGTATTCCTCTGCATCCCTGAACCCGTGGCAGCGCTCGGCACCTAGGAGACGCTTAGCAACGGCGGTAGTGGCGAACGATGAAGGCGAAAGACAGACAGCCAGGCGCAGCTCCCCGCAGGCAGCTGAACACGCGGATGGGTGCGAGCCCGGCAAAGACGTCAGGCCACAGGTAAGGCTCCCGGCAGGAGGTGACGGCTAAAACCCCGAAGCGGGTCATGAGACGTCATGGAAAGGAACCAGGGAGAGCAGACCCCTGGAAATGCCGGAGGGCGGGTGGGACTGGGCAAGAACAGTCTGCAAGGAGGACGGGGAAGAGGGATCCGGGCAGCAAGAACAGAACCGAGACGGCAGGTGTCCCGCACGGTGTCAAGGGAGGAGTGTCGCCGGGCAGGGGCGCGTCTTGCTGCAGAGGGGTCGACGGGGAAGCAGACCATAAGGAAGCCCCTGGACTTGGGAATCCGGACGTGGAAACTCCAGGGCAAGAGCAGCCTATCGGTCCCTCCCCTGTGCAGCCCTCAAGTGCCCGGCACACGGCGGCAAGGGCTTGTCCGAGCCCTGCACACTCAGCAGAGAAAGGCTGGGTCTCCTTGGGGTGCCTCTGCCTCTCGGGCTGGGCGCGCTCTGTCCCTAGGACAGGCACCCACACAGCAGGCACACGGTCCCGGAGACTCACAAGCAATGTTGGGAGCGTCGATCAAGGTCAGGAGATCGTCGTCCGCCTGGTGCTGCGTGTACTTGAGCCAGGAGCGCTCGTGCGCCGCAGAGAGCACCTCCTGCAGCACCTCGATGTGGCGCAGCTTCTTGCACAGGCTGGCCTCCAGCGCGGACTCCTTGTGGTGGGTGACGGCTGCGCGCAGGTGGGACTTCCCTGCAGACGGAAACCAGCACCCACGTGACACGGGAACGCATCGAAGAGAGCCAGCCCGAGAAGGTGGACGTTCTCCTCTGAAGGATCTACCCGGACAGCTTACGCCTCCATTAAATGCATGTGTAATAATAAACTCTTATGTCCATCAAATATTCAATCAACAAATATTCACTGAATGTTCTAGGCACTGGAGATAAAGCAATTAACAAAACATTGCCCCTGCATTCAGGGAGTTCACGTGGAGGGCTTGAAGACAGATAATTAACAAGCAAAGAAATATGTGATAATATGTGCAGCAATAAGGTCTTGGAGAAAAATAAAGCAGGGTAGGGAGAAGTGGCAAGAGAAGGTGGGAATACGAGTTGTTCTGTGACGGGTGACCACGGAAGGCTTTTTGAGAAGGTAACTTTTGAGCACAGCCCCTCTGGCAGTGAAGGAGCAGTGAGTGCAAAGGCCCTGGGGCAGGAGCATGCTGGGGTGTTCCAGGGCAACAAGGAGCTGGGGGTGTGGCTGGTGGAGTGAGGGTGGGAGAGAGGGCAGAAAGGGGCAGGGCCAGACCATGCCTGACCCGACAAGTGCGGGATGAGGACCCTTACTCCTTTGGTGGGTGAGATGGGAGCCCGCTGGGTTATGGGCAGAGGACTGATGTGATCTGACCCACGTGACCGCACTCTGGAGGAACACAGGGAAGCAGGCAGACCGGTTATGAGCAGGGCTAGCCACGTGACCTCTCTGGGCCTCCGTTTCCTGACATGTAGGATGGGGATCACACCAGCCCTATCTCACGGGGTTGTGTGAGTTTAAGCGAGTCCATGTTTGGTAAGCAAGCACTATATACACGTGGCTTTGACCAGGGCGGTGGGACAAGAAGTGATAGAATTTGGGATATGTTTTCTAAGGGATTTGCTCATTAAATGTGGGGTGAGAAAGAGTGACAAGAGTGGAGAGTGAGCCCAAAGTTTCTGGCCTAAGCACCTAGGGGGACAGGGCTGCCATCACGGAGATGGGAGATCGTGTGTGTGTGTGTGTGTGTGTGTGTGCGTGCGTGCGTGCGCAGGCAGAGGGAAGGGTGTGGAGAGAAGCTCAGGTTCTGGTGGTGGAGGAAGTCAGGTTTGCACGTGGAAAGGCGTGTTCGCCCTGAGACATAGAGGAGACCGACCGGGACGATTCATCGCCAGTCCTTAGGTGCTCTTGGTGACGAAGCTGTGACATAAGAAACTCCACGCACACGTCCTTCCTCGTCAGGTTGGCCAAGGGCCATCCCAGGCACCACTGGGGTGCTGGGGGATCGTCAAAGCCCTGGCTCCGTGGCGGGAGGCCTGGGTGCTCTTGGAACCTGCTGGAGGACCGTGTCTCGTGCTTTCTGAACCCGGAGTGGCCATGACTCCAGGCACTCTGCTCTCCCGAGCCCTCCCCAGGGACCCGTCTGCAGCCGTCACTGAGCAGGACCCACTGGACACCAAGCGGGGCACAGCTCTGGGAGCGGGGCCAACACGCACCCAGCTGTCGGCGCTGCTGCTCGTTCTTCAGCGTGGCCAGGGGCGTCAGCCCCTCGGGCATGTGCTCGTAGAGCTGGGACAGGCACTTCTCCTGGTGGTCCTCGTCCGCGCCTGGCTTCACTGCAGTAAGGACCACAGGTGAAATCCCCACTGGCGGACGTGGCCACAGACCCACTTAGAGATTTCGCTTTCAACCACACCTCCCGGTTCCCTTCTTCTCCAGTCTACAAGGTTTGGGATAACAGTCTGCCCCCGGACACGCCTCGCCACCCGGCCCCCACGCTTTTGCTCCCGGTGACTGACCACATTCCAGGGGCTCATGGTTTGGCCCTGAGCCCCTACATGTGACCTCCCCCAAGTCACCCACCACGAGGAACCCCCTAGCATAGCCTGTGCCCGGCACACCTGGCCCGCACACCTCCGGAGCCCTCCCTCAACCTCGCCCTCCCTGGTGCGCGTCCCTCTTCTCGGACCTCGCAAAACCTCTTCCCCAGCTCTCCTGCCCTCCGTTCCTGTGTGCGCTTTGCTCGCTCGTAGCTGTCCTTTCCCTTGTTCTGCTGGGAAAGTCCAACTCAAATGTCACTGCCTCCGGGAAACCATCTGTGACTACACCAAGGATTCCACCTGCTGCCTCTTTTGTGTCTCCACAGCCATTACTGAGGCACCATACAGTGTTTCTGTTTCCACATCTTGTCCTGTGGAAAAGACTATACAATACTAACAGGGCACGATACAGTGTTTCTATCTGTTTCCGTATCTCGTCCTGGGGAACAGACTATATAATACCAACGGGGCACGATACAGTGTTTCTATGTGTCTCCATATCTTGTCCTGTGGAATAGGCTATATAATACTAATGAGACATGATACAGTGTTTCTGTTTCCATATCTTGTCCTGCGGAATAGACCATACAATACTAACGGGGCACGATACAGTGTTTCTATGTGTTTCCATATCTTGTCCTGCGGAAGAGACTATACAATACTAACAGGGCACGATACAGTGTTTCTATGTGTTTCCATATCTCGTCCTGTGGAATAGACTATATAATACTAATGGTAGCAGCTAACACTTTCAGAGAGACTGAGATACGCTACACAGGGCACTACTTAGCTATGCATATAGACACTTAGTTTTCATAACACCACTGTGAGGTAGGTTCTCTTTATATACCCATTTTGCAGATGACAAAACTAAGGCACGATGCAGCCAAGTAACTCGGCAAAGGTCCCTCAGCTTGTAAATGGCAGAGCTGAGATATGAACCCAAACAGTCTGGCTCCTGGGGCCGTCCTTTTAATTACTCTGGGGGCCGCCTTGGTTAGTACTTGTTAATCAAAACTAATCAAAACTGTCACCCAACCTCTAGATCACAGCCAGCGCTAGGGTGAGGAAAATGAGCCACCTGCCTTGGGCTCCACATTTCATTGGGTGCCAAAAACTCAGCAAACAAGATACAGAATAATTTAACGCAAGTTTTGAAGTATCAAAATCAATACAAAAAAGCCCATGATGAACAAAAGCATCAAAATTTCTTCTTGCCTCAGGCTCCAATAAGGCTCGGCACAGATCCATTACTGACCCCCGTCTTTATTTAAAATTTCTATCATCACAGATTTTATTGACTCATTTAAAATATTACCTTAAAATGTTCCTTTTTTTTTTTTTTT